TTGATCGAAAACCCCAAAACCCCAAAACCCCAAAACCCCAATTCAATAAAAATGATTGAAATTGATTAGTATTTTCTATTCCTGAGCAGATCTGGAGTCCAATTAAATAGCTCCAGTTCCAAAAAGGATTCCGATAAGGGCTCCAAGTGCTCAGAGAATAATAGCGGCAATGACGAAGATACATTTTCCCATTCCTTTAGATCTTCTGTTCGCTTCTTGAAGTTGTTTGGTAGCTTCTTTAGTATTGGAAGCTACATTTTCCATATTATTATCCATTTGGGAAAGTTTTTCTCCTTGCTCTTCCACCTCAATATTGAAATCAGTGGCGATTTCGTGAATATTGTTCATAATATTACCGATCTTGTCGATCTGTCCTTGTCTTTCATCAATAACATCGTTAATATATTCAGCTTCTCCCAGAACTTTGACTTCTCCATCCATTTTAAGCAAAAGCTTTTGCTTTTCTATAAGAATGATGATTTGACCTCAGCTTACCTTCCTCTAATTCTTGTTGATTGCCAGTACCTTCAGAAATTCTGTTCATCGATCTTCTGGCTTCAACTAAGCCTTTCTCCTCCTTGGACCTGATCTCTCTAAGAACAGATTCTACTTTCTCGCTAATATTGGCTAGTTTTCTACGGTAAATGGGTGCATCGGGCCCGTCATAGTCTTTAACCAAATCTTTTGCCCTTTTTATAAGTAGTTTAGGACATCCATCATGATCTTCTGGTTTTCCTTGACTTGCTTGGGCTTAGCTCCTCTTCCTTGGGTCAAGACCTTATTGTACTTCTCTAATCCCAAGATGTTCTCGCTTACTTTTTGGAGAAGCTCTTTAATTTCTTCACAAGATTTTCCCTTTGTAACATTGTCATTCATCAGTGGAGCTTTTCTACAACGAATTAAATATTTGTGTGAGATACTTTCGTGATAACTTAGGAACTAATCCAAAGCCAGAGTAGTATATTTAAACCCACGGCTAAAGCACATACCTTGTGTTTGTATTATTATATTCGAGATCGTATGACATATTAGGTTAAATTAGTATTTCTATTATAAAAATCCCATCTGGGGTTTTGGGGTTTTGGGGTTTTGGGGTTTTGGGG